CGTGTACGCCAATCTACGGTTGCGAGTGTTTCATCAGCCTATTTTCCTCCAGGTATCGTTTCATTACAATAGTTGTATGCTTGGGGTCACTATCTTACTGGAAGACGAATCTCTGCTCAACAGGTCTTATTCCAAAGGGACTAATGTGATGGATAAGACTCAGCAGCGTAAATTCGATAAAATTGTGTAGCTATCGAACATCATTTACTGTGATGTAGCCCACATTTGTGTTGACCCCCTCCCCATCCATATGAGCTTACTTCACTTGGTACATTTACCATTATACCAGGTCCATACCATCGAACAACCTATCGTTGATACTTATAATTCAATTTGAATCTTTATCGGTAAAGGGGAGATTCCTTCAACATTGTATCGGTAATGAGGACACTCCTTCAACATTGTATCGGTAATGAGGACACTCCTTCAACATTGTATCGGTAATAAAGACTCTCCTACAACACTGTATCGGTAAAGAAGACTCCCCTTCAACATTGTTAGGGTAATGAGGATTTTCCTTCAACATTGTATCAGTAATGAGGACTCTACTTCAACATTGTTCATCCCTAAATATGCTAGTTGTTCACACTAGCCATGTGTACAAATGTGCCAAGTTCGTTTGGAAATGAACTTCAGTTCGTTTTCATGATTCACCTTCGCGTTTTGTCAGTTCTTACCGAGATCTTTCAATGTTCAGATTTAAGTTTTACAAGCGAAATAATCTCAGTTCTTTTACCAAACGGACCAAGATACCTGCTCTGGGGGACTCAGATTGATTCGGTTCATTTGCCTATCGAACTTTGTTGTTCATACTGCCCTCCAAGTGATGCGAGCCGTATTAAGTGTGCGAAAAAAATAATAAAGGAAGCAGAATTGTACTAAGAGTGCGTCTGCAGACATACAACGCTAGAAACCGGGTTTCGATATCCGTGATGGGCAGAGCACAGATAGCCCATTGTGTAGCTGTCTGCTTGACTACAAACAAACGAAAAAGAACTAAGAGTGCTAAAAACAAAAGCCGCAGTGTGAAAATGACTTTAGAATGCATAAAAACTCTGAACAAAAAGTAACACAACTGATTGCAATCAAGAGTTAAATAAGATAGATCAGAATAACTGCATACAACAAAATACTACTCTTTTCATCAAGTTAACCTCTAACACAGGATCAGTTCTCCTAAGTAAATTCTTAACATGGTCATTATAAAGCCCAAACATTTTTCCTTAAAACTACTCTTACGAATAGCTTTCTGTATTTATCAGTGAAGATACAATCTCTCAAGAAAAGTATTTTCTATCACTACGATGGGCATAACATAAAGAGGCCATACTGTATTTTTGTGCTAAACAACAAACAAACAAATTGTTGGTTTTGAAACCTTTTCTGGACACTTTTAAATCAACTTTATATTTTCACGATTTTCCTATTAAGTTATGTATGTAACTATTAAGTTGGGTAAAGGCCCAGGAAGGTCAACAAGAACTTTTCTATTATGTATGCGATTGTATAAATGTCCAGTCTTGCAGAGTCACATTGGCACGTATTTCAGAGACAAAGAATTACTTTTTAAGAGGCAAAGAAAAAAAAAAGATCAAATTATACAAGTTCACTGTCAAATCGTCTTAACACCAGACTGTACGGTCTTCATTTGTAAAATTGTCTTGACACCAGACTGTACGGTTTAATTTGTAAAATCGTCTTGACATCAGACTGTACGGTCTTCATTTGTAAAATTGTCTTGACACCAGACTGTACGGTTTAATTTGTAAAATCGTCTTGACATCAGACTGTATGGTCTTCATTTGTAAAATCGTCTTGACATCAGACTGTATGGTCTTCATTTGTAAAATCGTCTTGACATCAGACTGTATGGTCTTCATTTGTAAAATCGTCTTGACATCAGACTGTATGGTCTTCATTTGTAAAATCGTCTTGACAACAGACTGTACGGTCTTCATTTGTAAAATCGTATTGACATCCAGACTGTACGGTTTTAATTTGATTTGAAGACGACATTAAACTTCTGGTTTGAGGAATTTTGGTGGTTTCTTTGAGTACCATTAATATGATGTTTCGATAACATCGAGAACAGAATGTTACTTGAACAAGACACCTGACTCGGCTGACTCTAATCATATTGACTCCATCAGACGTTACATGAACAAAACATCTGACTCGGCTGACTCTCATCGTACTGACTCCATCGGAAGTTACTTAAACAAGACATCTGACTCCGCTGACTCTAATCGTATTGACTTCATTGGATGCTACTTTAACAGGTCATCTGACTCGGCCGACTTTCAAAATACTGACACCATTGTGTGTTACTTTAATAGGGTATCTGACTCGGCCGACTCTAATCATATTTAAACCATCGGATGTTACTTTAAAAAGCGTCTGTAGTTATAACGTTTGAATAATAAGCGCATTTTTATATAGCATATTTTTGCTCGGAAAAGTGATATTATGTATTTATGTAGAGATACCTTTAACAGTTTTTTTCGTACTCAGGATGATAAGCTAAGAACTCGCGTCATGTGAACATGATAAATTTAACGTTCATAGAAAGATAATTAGTGATTGACTTATCTTTATTAGTATAACATAAGCAACTTTCTCATAAAAACTGTGGCTTAGCATTTTTCAAATATACCATGATCAACTGTTTATGGCTACGTTTTCTCTTCTTCAAAACAAATTAACGAGCCAGAAGCTACAATTTTATGATCATCAAAGTTTCTTCCCGGAAACTTGCTGAATCGTTTCATTGTTAACCCCTAAAAGACACAGAAGGCTGAACTTTCACCTCATGACACTTGACTTTATTTAACTAAACAATGATCGCAAGCTGAATCTTTGGAACCTTCTTTTTTAGTATTTAGTTCTGTGGGTGTCGAAAGACGAAACTGAAATTGCTGATACTGTAAAAGCAGAATTTAATAACGTGGGAACATGATCTGTTTGCGATTTTCAGTGGAGATGTGTTTCTCGTTTTGACAGACAGAAATATCTGGAAGGTTTGACCGACATGCAGCTTCATAATTGTGTTGAGTTTTATCGACATCTATCATATATATATACACCTAATATATATATATATATATATACTTACATATACTGCTTAATTGATATACATTCTTGATAATTTGACCGAGATATTTAAATGGTTTGATCGTACATATATATCTAGATGGTTCTATGGATACACAGTTTTTTCAGCATGAATATTTAGATAGCTGAACTGTATATCTAAATGGTTTGATCATATATATATATATATATAAATCTACCGACATCTATATACATATAGCACTTGATTGACATATATATGTTCTTGATGACTTAACCAAGGTATTTAAATGTATATATCTAATATATATATACTTACATATACTGCTTGATTGACATACATTCTTGATAATTAAACCAAGATATTTAAATGGTTTGATCGTACATATATATATCTAGATGGTTCTATGGATACACAGTTTGTCAGCATTAATATCAAACATCTATATATCCTAGATGGTTCTACCAACACACACGTACAAACATATATCTGTATAAAAAGTTAAACTGCATATTTATACAAGCTATTTTATCATTCATAACACCTTAGCTTTTTCCTCGGTTATTTTATTTGCCAATAAGGTTTCTTCTCTTGTACCATTACACTCTATATATACACGTACTTGAACTCACAAACTCCAAAAGCAATGTACCGTTTTTTGTTTTTTCACTCGTTACAAGATAGCCAGTACAGAAGAACTTAGATAGAAATGTAACTTCAAAAACAAACAAACAAACAAATTATATCAAAAGTCAATTTCCGATGAGGTTATTTTTTATCGTTTAAGACTATTGTAAGTTATTTTCGTTTCTGTTACCTTTGTTCTTTATTTCTTCGACTTTCTCCACGGCCTTATTGGTTCCTAAATATACATGCTTAGCATACCAAGACTTTGGTACAGTTTAATGATCAAAATATGTTTGAAGGAACTTCTGCCAATAATTTAATCAGTAAAGAAAATACCATATATTTCAAAATATTTAAACACCCAGTTTTATTGGAGTTATCATTGAATTAGGTGTGCCCTGTTTGTTCACAAATACTGAAAAAACTTTTGATGTGTTGTTAAAATTGATAAACTGATAGTTCTGAAAATAGATGACAATAAACTTTATACTCTTACTTTGCATCATTTTTATCATAAGGCAGGAATTAAACCTAGATCTAGGTAATAATTCATATTTCTATTTTTTTACCAGGTTTGAATCTTGACAGTTTGATTTGAAAGTTCAATATTTTGTCAATAATAGGTACAAATCTGACCAATGTATTGTTTGAATTTCTAAATAAGGATGTACTACGAAAACATTTTCAGTTATAAATTGTTTAATTATCTAATTAGTAGACAATATATGGAAAACTGCACGTTCAACTTTACGAAGGTATTGTTATAGGACTTGCATTAATGTTTTGAAAAATAAATGAGTAAAAGCTTTTAAAAATTTAAACAATTTGAGAGAATAAGAAACAACAAGAAGAAGAAATTACATTCAACTCCAAAAACTGTTTGTTTCAAATAATGTTTATAAATATATCAAACCAGATACATAGGTTAAAATAAATATTTGGCAAATATGTACAAACGTTGTCCGCGAACCACGAATTATGTCTTAAAACGTTAAGAATTAAACATATAACAGATTAATACGGCGTTTTCTGTGACAAAATCAACGATTCTGTTAAAATAGTTTCATAACTAAAAAGTAAGCAAGCTACTGCATAAAATGGTTTGACAGCCTTACTCACTGAAAAACCCATGCAGGATATTAATGTTTGGGTTTGCATTAGAACTAACTTCTTGGCTCAGCAATTTTTATATTCTCATTTCCAGTAACATATTACTTACGAGTAAGCTCTTCGTCCAAGTAGTCACTATATAAAGTCCTACTGAGAATACGGGATAATATTTAATATATTAATATTTACTTACCACCACATTGCGTTGGTCACAGGCACGAGGAACAGAAGAACTACACCGAGGATCGCTGATAGATGGACCGTGGTCTCTTTCCTTGTATCTTTACTCATGTACATCGTCTCGTTCTTTAGCTGGTCACTGCAGACATAGGGTCACACACTTGTGGGCGAGGGTTAGCCGTACACTGAGTGTCTGTGTGCTGGTCGAAAAAACTACCTTAACCATTTTACAGTTCTCTGCAGCATGCGAAACAAGCCAAACTTTTATTATTATTTTTAAGTATAAAAGTCAGTCCATCACCATCATCTTTGCAAATACAAAATTTCAATTGTATCTAGAAACACAGTAAACCTGGTCCGGTACATTTCTTGCTGTCTGACTTTACTTGTTTCATGATTCTAATATAGCGATTTTAGTCTTATGAATTTCTTCCTATTACACCGTCTTATTTCGTTCTAATATTTTAGTTTATGAAAAGTTTAATCTTTATATTCGTAGATTTTCCAAGTTCTCGTTGAGTTTCTTTATATCATTCGCAAATATTCTAGATTTTGACATTTATTCCGATATTTGCTTTCTCTTGCTATTCGCTTTTTCCTTATGTGTACACAGAAGCTAAATCAGAAGTGTGAGTTGTAGACCAACTCTGAAGATTACTGTGTGCTATCAGGGCCTGTCCTGGCCCAGTGAAACTGATACGGCCAATGAAATGGAGGTATGCCCATGCTCGCCAGTTTAGCTCTGGCAGAAGTTTCGTGCTGCCTGTTAGAAGGAAAGCTGGCCAATTGAAGCGGCTTAGTATCATGCTGCGTCAAAATTATGCTCAGATAAGATGTTTTGATAGAAACTTGTTGTATATTAGCCTATCCCACTTGCTTCTTTCACGTTATCTGATCAAGATGGCCCCTTACACCTGTCAGGATCTGCACACATGTGCTTTTACAGATTTACTGACAGAAACTTGTAAAACTGCTAGAAATAAGCTTCGATTCACGCGAATCACTCAGTGAGTGCACTAAACTTAAGCTCTAATGGTATGAGAAAATAAATACTCTTTTTTATTTGTTTCTCTTGTCGTATTTCGGGCATGCTTCTACAAACATTGGACTTTATTTTTAAAAAATAAATTTAAATTCAAGAATACTCTAATACATATGAGTCATGAAACACGTTTGAGTATGTTAACAATCAGTACGTCTGCAAAAAATTAACATTTGTGTTTTGGAATGCGGAGGTCATCTTTTGAATTTTCTTTAAAAAATCACATAAGTCACGATGTGGAACAGATATGAAAATTGTACAACTAAGACTAAATTCATTGACGTTTACTGCCTCATAACCAACATGAATGACTTATAACCAAAATAGTAAAAACAACAAATACAATTGATAATTTGTGTTTACATATTAATACTTCAGAAGAGTAACATTTCTCCTTTAGTATGTGTTCGTATCAATTAACAAATAAAGAGGAGCAATCTACTGCACGTATAGCAATCATAGTTGCTGCTATTAGGTACATAGTCTCAAAACCGTTAGACGAAAGTTTAGAATTGTTCAAGACAAATGTTGGATAAACTTAAACATTACTTTAATATGGAAACGTTTAAACATTTAAGCTTTTTTTGTTTTCTTTATCCTGTTACTCCGCTTTCGTCTCATTGGTCTTTCTTTCTTTGGAATTGATAGTTTTGGAATTTTTCTTCTCCCACACATGACTGGTTTTGACAATGAAAACAGTTTTGTCGAAGTTCTGTATATACCCTGAAAAGGACTCCAGGACTTCTTAAGAAAACCAAGATAATTTATAATGAAATATTTTGTATGAACATCAAAAGAGTGATATGTATGCGCCATATTTCATAATTTCCTCGTGAATGCCCAGACTTGTCCAATCGGAGTATTTCTTTGATGACCTTGTGCTAAAATTAGTTGAATCCGATATCGAACACAAAGTAAAATACCTATTGATATGGAATGTCTATATACCTAGAGTTTGACGGCATTGGAGGAATTTCCCAGCTTCAGAAAAATGGGTTCAGCAGCTCGTAAAACAAGATTCTGAGGCTCCCACCGTGAAAGTATATTCATACAGTTTACAGCTTTGCTGGGGGCGTACAGTACTGTGCCGTTTTATACCTTAACATCTCAAGATTTCTAGGATTGTTATAGGCTTAGTTTTCACGTTTGATCGCATTGTGTCGGTGATTGTGTGACGACAATCGTGCGTGAGTCCTTCAAAAGAAAACAAATAGCTTGAAAGTTAGCAAAACCTATAGTTTCGTATTCACTTACTATTTTCTCCTCTCTCTCTCAAGGGTTTTTCATTATGTGAATTTTACACGTTATATAAATGTCTATATCTAACGTTTCTCATAAATACATCTTCAGACTTAATAGTTTTTCTTTCTGTCAAATTTGTAATATCTGTTCACTCTCATTTCTTCTCTTTTTCAACGAGAACAGTTAAAAAATGTGCTCACAAAATATATAGTTTTCTTTATGTGACTCATATTTATGTATGTAAGTTCCTTATGCCAAACTAATATTGTTCAAAATTTTGTTCCTGCTTACTCAATTAAGCTTTAGTCTGAGGAAAATGCAACTCTAATCCCTGAGAGAGAAATTAATAAGTTTTTGCCATAGTAAGTAAGTAATATATATATATATATATGGCTAATAAATTAAAATAACATAAGTGAGCAAAAATAAATTAAAAAAAATTCCCTTGATAACATTTTTTAAAGCTCATTTTTCTTATAGAAATTGTTGCATATCAAAATTAATTTTATGAAACTGACCTAACCAGCTTTGTAACATGGCAAATTAAGTGTTTAAAGTAGTATTTTATGTATGCATCTTTATTATTAATGAGATATTATCAGCTTTAGATTAACCAGGGAACATATAATACAAAGTAATATTTTACCTATGCATCTTTATTATTATTAATGATATATTATCAGCTTTAGATTAACCAGGGAATATACTACAAAGTAATATCTTATGCATGCATCTTTATTTTTAATGAGATGTTATCAGCTTTACATTAACCAGGGAATATAATACAAAGTAATATTATACTTTAAGTGTTAAAAGTCTTTTTTCAATATAGGAATCCTATAAATTACCAGCTCCTTTGTATTATTTTATTTCAGTATTTTGTTTAATCTTGTTAAGGTAACTTATAAGATGTAATAGTTTGATCTAACTTTCATTTCAACTGCAGCGCAGTGATATCTGACATTAAAGTAATTTTTATAATTGTAGACACATAATCCCCAAAATGCGGCCACTACCGATCCAGGAGACCCTGATTTTTGTCCGTTGCAACAATTTTTTTTCGGAATAGCGTGGCCTAGTCGTTAGCATGCTGGACCGTAGATCTGTGGTTCGCGCCCCATCAAATCCCACTATTCAGTTAGAGTAGCTCAAGAGTTGATGGTAGGTGGTGGTGTAGCTTTGTTCGAATATCCCAAACAACTAACCAGTCGATATTACGAATACCTTCCCAGGCCCGTTGCTTTCTGGTTGTTACAATCATGACGTCTTCTTCCAAACAAATAATAATAATCATAACTAGTGACTGGTGTACTAGACAGTGAATGTTTCTTGGGAATGAAATTACGAACTTACAAGATCATTTTATCATTTAGCTATAAAACCATCCATGAAACTTACCGATTGAGGAAAAAGTTTTGAATACACATGTTTACCAATGTTTATGTATATCATATTTATTTCAACGTTTCAAAGATAATTTCAGTTGCAATTACTGTTTCTAAAACATAAAGTTTGTGGTGCAGATGTTATCTATCACACTGTTGGACTTTAAAAAGAAAGTGTAGGAATCTTTCTCACCAATGCTTATCACTGAAACGCAATCATTTCGAAATAGCAGAAGGATGAGTGTGTAACTGAAATAGAGGGATATTACTCAGTATGATCAAATATCTTTCATATTGCATACAATTTAACTTCGTTCTCTACTAATTTCACATTTTCTAAAAGTTAAAACCTTAATTCTTTTTAAAGCTTTTAGTGCAATGTTTTGTTATAGTCCCTCTCCATTAATTCAGCGATTGTCTAAGCTTTTCAAATCATATTGAAATATCAAAAGATGTACATTTTTATGAATGTTAAGTTTTTAATATTTTTTTATGGGAATATAGCGTATAAAGTTTTCTGTAAACCATATCTTTAGATACAAGATTACACAGACTTGAAACACTATCCTACATGGTTATTGCTAACAGTCAGGATGCAACAATGCTTTTCATTTAATGCCCTCCAGTGGCACGGCGGTATGTCTGTTGACTTACAACGCTAGAAACCAGGTTTCGATACCCATGGTTGGCAGAGCACAGATAGCCCATTGTGCAACTTTGTGCTTAACTAACAACCAACAAAAACAATTTTCATTTAAAACCACCAGAGGATTATTGAAGAAAATGACAAAGACATGTTATATTAATCTGGTCGACAATGATTTGCTATGAAAACGATTTCCAACGAGAGGTAACAAAATGGACCTAAAATGCAAACTGTGTAGGAGTTCTATAAACTTTATGTTTCTAAATCTAGTAATCGACCTCAAGTTTGATTGGTTTTCAAGTAAAGTATGCAAATAAGAATACATTTAAAAAAAACAACAAGAAAACTTGACAGTTGTTGGTTTGAAGGAAAAGATTTTAACTGGGAAAGTTGCAAGCTCTTCCTACCTGGGGATTTCAAGAACATTCATTCCCCTTTGTCCCACGCGTGGAATGTGCTGTTAATACAAAGGAGATATTGATTGGAAATGGATGTTAATCAAAGATTAATTGAAAAGCCAAGGGAATGGTAGTGGAAAGTTCAGGTAACATATATCTAGGGTAAGAGGGCAGCAATTAAATCATAATCCAGTGTGCTCCATTAAGAGAGTAGAATCTTAATACCGTTAAACATTTTAATTTGTATTATATAAACACAAATAACTCTTAAGTGAAAATGTCAGCGTTATGCAAGTCAATCTGTTACTTACTTTAAATAATTAGCAAAATGAATATTAAATACTATTGTTGGTCAAAATATTTTCATAATTTGCAGGTTTACGTAATCAAATATCATAGCGGGTTTAACCTATACTCTCCTTATAGACAGATTAAGCCCAATGTAAGATGACCACATCAAATTACGTCATTTGATAAGCTTAGCGTATACACAAATTACATTTTGCATATATTTTCTGAACAAAAAAAATATTGTCTTATTACAAATGAAAAAAGAACTTCATTCTATGTTCATTTATTTTACTTATTTCTTTACAGATTAATTTAATAGCAAACCGCTTTCGTTTTTTAATTTCTGGTAGAATTATCATTATTATTATTATTAAAAAATGACAAACTTCCATTGAAAGTTTTAAGCTATTCAACACTATTCTTAAACACAAGCAAAATATTTATTGTTGTCAAACGAATAGAGATTTTTTATAATGGTTTATATATATTATCACCTACAATATAAACTGTACTTTAGTAAACATTATATCTTTCTAACGTATACCTCCTGCTCTTTAATCATGAGAGTAGACATGAGAAATATTTGTTTTGCTTTTTTATCTCTTAATATTCTACCACATTTGAAAGGTTGGTTGCTCGCCATAACGTTTCAGTAAAACTATTAAAGATTTTGATTGTCTATAGTTGCTATGCCATATTTTGAAGTCTATGGCAGACTTTCTCAGCTTAA